TCTGTCCTGGCACCCATCCGTGCACCTTTTTATTTATCCACCATTTATCCACCCACTCACTCATCTGTCTGTCTATGCATCCAGCCATCCACCCATCCATCCACCATCCTACAGCTGTATACCAAGGGCTTGCCACGGACAGGCTCTGTGAGGCACGCTGCTCGCACAGAATTCTACTGTAAGATTCTCACAATGCCTAACTGACAGATGTGGACACTGAGGCCTGGCCAGGTCACATCGCCTGCCCAGGGCACCCTATTAAAGAGTGACTGAAATGGGCTATAGTACGTACTGACCACAGGAGCTCCTGCTGCCTCTAATGAGCCCCGCCTGTCTTGGGCCTCCCATGCTCGTTCACCCCACCACTGGCCTACACCTGTCCCAGGCTGGTCAGGTGAAGCCATACTTTCTTACGGGCCTCATCACCTTGGATTCCACATGCCTTCCTCTCTCATCTGCCAAGAAGTACATAGCCATGAGACCTGCATTTTGGCTTCAACAGTTTCAAATGCTGGTAAGAAAGGGAAAGGTATTGAAAAAGTACTACTTACCCCTCCTCCAAAGTGTGCCCACTGACCACCTGTTGCATCAGCGTGGCCTCGGCACTCCTGGACCCTCGGGGCAGGAGTGGTTTTGCACAGCCCCAGCTCCATCCCAGGTCCCACAGGAAAGGGACAAGGAACAGGGTCCACTGGGGACCCAGTAAGGACATCCTCTGGCATGCTAGGCCCTTTCTCTGCCTAGACCAGAGTTTCCACATCATCAGGGCCTTAGAAATTAATAAAATGGAAAGAAAGGACAAGAGGAGGAATGGTGACCTTCAGGGACATCTGCTGCCCAGCGGGTACAAAAGTACCTGTCTCTCTGTTCCTGCCACTACAGACAAAAAAACTTGGGTGACATTTGTAACACATAAGATGTTCCTGACAGGAGGAAGAAGAGGCAGATGAGCAAGGGTCCTGGGGCACAAGGAGCCACATGGCTGATCCTGGGTTCTCCTTTCGCCTTATTCACCCCAGACTTGAGAGCTACAGAAGAACAACCAGGAAAACCAACAGCACAGACCCAGAACAGCCACAGAGAGGGAGAGCTGCTGCCCCAGACCTCACAGCTAGCAAGAGAGAAAATCTAAAGGCTATAGCTCCACTCATGGAAAATTTGGAGAACGTCTGTGTCCACTGGGTATGGTGAGAGCCACACAGCAACCTGGACATCTGTCCTTACCTGGCCATGTGGGGGCCTGTACACCCTGCCAGGAAGTGCCTTCCAGAGACCTCCTTCCCACTACCATGGATTGCAGACCACAATGGAACACGAGAAGGTCATCAGAAAAAAAAAAAAAATGCAGGAGAGCGACAGGTGGAAACGCCTCACAACAGAATGCCTTCCAGCTGCGGAGCACGGGTGGGTGGGGACACGACACAAAGAACCAAGCTCTGGAGCCACAGAGAAGCTGTGCACATGTGGCTCCGTGGGGAGACCTGGTCTGAAAAGGCTGCAACCCGAGATTTCCCTCTGTGCCTTGGTGAGGCTGTTGGGACTGCACATTTCACCCACAGGGACATGTGTGCCACACTGTGGTGGCTGCAGGGGTGGAGGATCAGGGAGGCTGTGCTGCGGGCTCGGGGGGAGGGGAGGATCGCAGCCCCACACACTCAGTTCAGCTGTGAACTTCAAACCACTCCACTTTGTTTTAAAAAATGGAAAAGCCTTGTCCAGCAAAAGACCCCACCGGAAATGTAAAAAGTGACAGAAGAGAAAATTCCAGCCAGGGCTGCATTGGGGAGCAGGGGCTTCTGGGAAGGAGCATCTCCTGTTTCAAATTCTGCTCAGAAAATCTCTAACAGTGCTGTGTCCCTGAAACAACATATCTGCCCTTTTGGAGAGATGCTGCCATGTGTGTGTTGCCAGGTGGACGATGTCCCTGGATTCCATCTTTGAGGAACTCCTGGGTCCTGTGTGGACAGACACCATCTGTGTCCTTGGTCACCGAGAGCCAGGGGACACAGAAGTGGACAGGGAGGCTGTCACTTCTGCCTTCCTGGGGTCCCTGGACCCCACAGAACCTCCCACTCCCTGCCTCCCGGGGGCTCTACTAATGATTATAAATGGCAAACAGGCTCCAATTTAATTGCAGAAGCTAATGATGCAGGGAGCATAAGATTAGATTCACCACGGAAGGCAATATCCTCAAACAATAAAAAAAAATGAGAAGCCAGAGTGAGGAGGCCGAAATCAATGGGAAGGTTCTGTATTAAATACCATAGCAGAGGGGACACAGAGGGATATTGACAGAACTGCTGACGGCAGATAAAAAAGGAGGAGAGAAAACTAAATTGATCTCTGTGGAAGATCAGTTACAGATTAATCGCCCTACCATGAAATGCTGGGGAGATGACCCGTGTGTGCAGATGCGTCCGCTGCCTGATTACAGAGCAGGACAGTGAGGACGGGCGCTCGCTACCGTGCCTGGAACACCAGAGTGGGACCTGGGGCTCTCTCCAGCACCCCGACCACAGTGTGGCCTCTCAGCTGCTCCTCTAGTGGCACCCCATGGCCTGGCATGAGCTACATGTGACAGGACCACATTTCTCCTGTTTCTGAAGCTTCCAGTCTCTGGAGCACAGTTGGAGGAGAGGCCAGAATTTGACCGACTCAGGAAAGCAGGTCACCAGCATGTCCTTGCCCTCCACCTATAAGTGTCCCTGGGCTGATCTCACAACTGAGTCTCCTTCAAGCTTCCTGTTTTACCTTGAAAGCTTATACAGAACTCGGGTGTTACTCCATGCTATGGAAATCTGGCTAGTTTTTTTCTTTCTCCCCACTACCTTGTCTTTTGGAGACAGGGTTTCACTCTGCAGTTCAGGTTGGCCTTGAACTCACTTTGTAGCCCAGGCTGACCTTGATCTTGCAGCGATCCCCCTACTTCAGCCTCCTGAATGCTGGGATTACAGGCATGCACTCCCACACCCAGCCTAGGCTGATTTTTAAATAAAAACAAGTTTTCCTTGAATACTAGGAAAACAGGCCAACTCTCAGTTTTTCAGGAAAGGCTATGACTATTCAACTTTTCAACTTTTCACAAGTCACTTAATATTTTTAAAAGTCCAACTTCTATGCCACATATTAATAATGACCAATCATTACTCATGTCATCTCTTTAACTCAGAGGGCTGAGGGAAGGATTTATTAATACTGTAAAGCATTGCAAGGGAAGAAAGCTAAGTAAGCATCATGGTAGCAAATAAATATCATGCAAGGTTGTCAGTAAAGACATCTACCTGACAGATACAGTTCTCAGGTCCCTGAGACCAGCGGAGATGACAGAACCCTTGAATACAGGAAGTTAGTGTTATACTAAAATGCTAAAAAACCAAAATGCAAAGTTAAAAAGATTGACTGGAGCACCAACACAGTTATAGATTAACTGATGTGTTATCATACTGTTCTGTATGCGTCGTCATCCTAGTAACCTGTTTGTTGTGTCAACCTTTGTTCCCTTTGTAAGAGACAAACGTTCCTGGAAATCGCAGACCAAGGGCAGTAAATTAAGGAAAGAACGAGGTAACCACCAACTGCGAAATGTCTCTGACCCCAAGCAAAGGGGAACAAAGGCCTTCTGCATTCTTGCTCACTTCACATCACTCCTTACTTTGCGGTTTAATCTCTATAAAAATCTGTCAAACTTCTAACCCAGTTGCACAGCTTTGCAAACTCTATCTGTACTGTGCCGCCAGTGCCAACTTAAATAAAAGCACTTCTTTTTTAAAAGATGTCTTGCCTCCTTCTTGACAACATCTCAGGCCTTGTTTTTGGGGTACAACAGTTAGGAAGTCTCATTTCAATTTCTCAGTATTTAGTTTCTCTTGAAGTTGTTACTTTGGTATAAACAAATGCGGTACAATTATAAATGTGTGTTTCAAAAACTACATTTTAAAAGACAAAGTTTTACAGGCTAGGCAACTTAGTGACTTAGTGGGACCGGTCTCAAAATACAAAAGGGCTGGGGATGTAGGCCAGTTACAAGGCCCTAGATTCAGTCTCTGGTACCATAAAGAAAAAGTCAGGTACAGGGAAGCACAGGTATAATCCCAGCACTGGGGAGGTTAAGGTAGGAGGGCTGCAGCAAGTCTGAGGCAGCCTGGGCTGCAGGAGCTCAAGCTCAGCCTAAACCCTATAGTGAGACCGTTTCAAAAATCAAAGCCAAAAAGAAACTTCTAAGGACTCAAAAATGCATACTAGTATCCACTCAATGGAAGACAAAATATTCAAAATGATGAATCAATTATTTTTATGACTCAGGCAAGTACTCAGGCTAAAAGTATTTTCTATGTGCTTTGACTTGAAAGTGTGGTACTGACAAAATATATATTAACTACTTACCAGTCCAATTATTTAAATACACGATGATCAGAAACTGCATGTTTCTTCATTATTTTATATAATATAGCAGGAAATACAGAAATGATAATTTTATCAAATTTATTCAGTGCAAGAGTTGACTGGCTGAAATGCCACTTGTCTGAGTGATTCACAAGATATGCAAAGAAACATGCCACCTGAATAACGCTCGGGGTAAACTGTTGTGCAGTTAAGAAGTCACTTATGAAGTTGTATATGTAAGTGCATGCCTCTAATCGCAGCACTCAGGGAGGCTGAGGTAGAAAGATGGTAAGTCCAAGCCCAGGCTGGGTAACTTAGCAACTTTGTACTCAAAATAGAAAGCGTTGGGAGTGCATCTCAGTGCAAAGACCCTGAGTTCACACCCCAGTGCCAGGAGGGGCGGTCAGGGGTGGGGAGCGGGGATCATGAAAAGGCCTTCCGAGTGTACTAAGCCCTTTGGATAAGCCAGGGACAGGGGAAGCCCTGTCAGCTAGACCCCTGCAGCATCACACAAGGCTCCTTGCTTTCATGGGGGGCCCTTGAACACGTGAATCAAGAAGCACCCAAAGCCCCAATTCCAAAGGCAAACCCCCAATTCCTGCTGTTGCTCTGCTTACCACGGCCTGGCTGGAGCTTTCCTGGAGGTCCCAGAGCAGGATGTGGTTATCAGCCAAAGAAATGACTTTCTTCCCTTCTCCCATTGGTTCCCAGGCGACACTGAGAGGAAGAGAAATGCCAAGAAGGATCAACAGGGAGAAACCAGCTCAGAGTCACTGCGAGTACTCGCAACCTGCCTCTCCAAGCACTGTGGCCAATGCTGTGATCACCACTGCTGCGGACTGAGCTGTGTCCCCCAAATTCTCCTGCTGACACCCTGCCCACCCCCACCCTCTCGGAAAGACAGTGTTTGGGAGGTGGCAGCACCTTAATGGGAAGAGAGCTAGGCAACTTAGTGACTTAGCAAGGGAAGAGAGCTGAGCAAAAGAAAGTCAAGAAAACTGCAAGGGCCACGCTGCTCTGCCTGTGTGACCAGAGGGACATTTCCTTCTGCTGGAGCCAACTAGAGCCCATCCACAGTCCAATCCACCCCAGTCAATGCAAGGCATGCATCAATAGTTAAACAGAGGCCAGGAGTCCATCAAGCCCCGGGTGAAGCCACAAAGACAGCATGAGTCCATCAGCACGGTAGAGCAGCTCCCAGAGGGCCAGAGGGGCAGCACTCTGAAGGCATGCTAGGAAAGTCAGCCAAATCCACAGGCACCAGCTCTACAGGGAGAGGGAGCCTCATGCAATCACTGGGCTACAACTTGAGCTGGTAAGTGGCCAGCCAATCCCTTGAAGCACTGATCTTTAGAAAGCCAAGGGACACTGGTAACACACACTGTGGATTTAGGCAGTGTTGGGCCGGGGAGCCACCCTAGAAGCTCCAAGCCTCTGCCTCAGTAAATGGCGTGGATGATTAGGACAGAACAGCGGTGGGGCATGTCCTCGGTGCCACTCTTGGTTCTGCAGGTGGCATGGGAGAACAGAAAAGGCCCATGTTTTTGTATCTCCAGGATGCACTCTTCACACCACCAACTCAGCCTGGCCCAGGGCCACCCAGGGTGAACGCAGCAGCAGCTGGCAGCCAGCTGTCTCCAAGAGCACAAATCATGTTTGGGGCAATGTCCCATCAGCTAGACCTGCTTCAGCCAGCAGGAAGGGAGAGGCTTGGCAGATAGCTCACTTGTTCTCACACTTGAGACAAGGTATGACCTGGTCTCCACACTGAGAGCCTCCCACTAGCACTGACTACAACCAGGGAAGGGAGGAGCTCAGCTTTCAGACAGCCAAGTGGCTTCTCCCAGTGGCCAGGGGCTGGGGAGGAGGCCTTTGGACTGAAAGCAAACTTTCACAGGCCCTATTCTATCAGGCCACGTCCAACAGTACAAGTCCAGGGTGAATAACCGTCTCCAGCATAGACACACTCAGATATGGAGGAATGAGACCTGGTTTTAGTGTGGGCATGTGTGTGTGCATGTGTGTGCATTGTTCCCCACATCAATGGCTGTTTCATAGTTTCCTAACTTTTGTCTCATTAATTGGATTTGATCTCCCTATCTATTCTCTTACTTTCCATTTATACACCCTTTCCCTTCTCTTTTTGCATTGTCTCAAATCCCTTCTCCAGCCTCTCTTCTTTATATATAAATATTACCATTAATGCCTACTCTTTTTAGGGGCCTATTTTACATTATTATCCTCCTTTTCTTTTTCCTGGGTAGGTGGAATGGTAGGGAACTTTTTTGTTTTGTTTTGTTTTGTCTTTTTATCGGTACCAAGGATCGAACTCACGACTGCCTGCTTGCAAGGCAGGTGCTTCTGCCACTGAGCTAAATCCCCAGCCCATGGTAGGGAACTTTTAAAGTAAGTTTTAAGTTACATGTTAACACATACTTGGTTCTTAGGATGTGGACATTATTGGTAGCTAAATATTCTCCTCGAAAAGTTCTGCTAGGATGTGAACCTAGCTAGGACTCTGCAAAGAGTGGAGTAGATGCTTTCACACTCAGACAAACTGACAGCCTGGGGCACATCACGACGAGAAAGCCATTGCTGAAAAGATATTTCACAACGAGAGAGCCATTGCTGAAAAGATCTTAACTACAAAGCCCTTGTCAACTGACCTGCAAACTTCAACACAAAAACACAAAAATCATAACAAAATAAAGCAGTGAAATGTCCCCCCCCACCCCCACCCTGCAAATTTGAAACTCCCACAAAACTGGTTCTGTAGATATTGAAGTAGAGGGCCGGGGATTTAGCTCAGCGGCATAAGCATCTGCCTGGCAAGTGTGAGGTCCTGAGTTCGATCCCCAGAACTATGGAACAAATTGAGTTCACTAACCAAGATACCACTGTATATACCTAACACAGGCATACTTGATGTCACAGAAAAAGCACTGTTTGACATAAAGTGGCAGAAATAGTCCAACAATTAAAGTGGGTGAATGCAATATCTGTCATAGACACCACTGGATCTGTGCTTGGTGCTGTGCCCCAGGGCACTGGGGAAACTTGGGAAGAAGACATGATGCCCCAGTGTTCCAGGGCAGCAGGGCATGGTCAGTGGTGAGGGCAGGCACTACAGCCCAGATACAGTACAGCCTCACAGACCGTTTCTTCTCAAATGGCAGCAGCTGCTTCCAAGAACCACCTTCACACGAGGCCAGAACTTCCCTGGAGACTTATGTTAAGAGAAGAAGTCTCTGGGAGAGGCTCTTCTTCAGCAATGCCTGACCTGGGTCCTGAATCACACTGTCTTTGGAGTGCCTGCTTTCCTCTGGTGGCCTTCTTGTCCCAATCCAGTCAGGTGTCCTCTGCTGTCCCCCAGAATCTGGGCTCTGGGTCCTGCCCATTGAGGCTGTCAGTCTATCTTGTACTCAGGGTGTACACAGTGGGAGCCCTCCACACACTTGGATTCTGTGGATATATACACAGCACACACTAGTGTGCCAAGGACACCGATCTGAAGCTTCTGCTCAGGGCTCTGTGCTGTGCAGGCCCAGAAGGCCAGACCATGGGCATCATGTGGAAGGTGTGTGTGGAGGACAGGAACCAAGGAATGTGTGGGAGAAGGCAGTGGATGCTGAATCACCTCGGGCCATGAACCATGACAGCCTCTGTCACATCTAGAAGGGCTCACAGCTGTGATATTGGCAGAATTCTATGAATTCAGATCAACTAATCCTTTGTATGTGTCAGATGTTGATCTTGCCATACCACCTGGGTGACCCACAGATTCCAAGAGCAGAGAAATCAAATTAAAAAAAAAACAGGACTAATATAAGTTTTGCACTAACAGTTTGCTAACTTGCCTTAAAAAAATAGATTAAGGAGAAAGCAATTAACCACCCCAGGATGGATGACAATGCACGTGGATTTTTCCCTATGGGATTAGTCTAAATGAGGTTTAAAGGCCTTGGTAGGAGGCCTTTGTTCTCAAAAGAAAAGCCATGAAAAACATGAGAGATGACACATGAGAGTCACCATTTCCAACAAGGGACCCATCCCAGCTTCCGCTGCTGCCCACACCCACAGGAACAACGAAGATGAGGGGCACAAGAAGTAATCCACAGGGACAGAAGGCTGTGGAGTCCAGCACTGTGGAGCCCCTGATGACAGGTGTCCCCAGACCTCAACATTACAGATCAATTTGGGCTGGCTTACTAATTAAAAATCTGTAAGAAAAATAAACATAACCTCCCACACACAGAGATAAACAGCAAGTGGACTAAATGAACACTGCTACTGCACAAGAAATCCCACAGGAGAGGATCTCCATGCAAGACAGAACACCTGAGCTTCCTTTCCTTAGGAACGTACAGTTCCTGCAGCTCTCCTGCAGAAGTAGAGGCCCACAGTCAGTACACTCTGCACCCTATGTGTTCTTTTTGATATGACCAATGAGTGGGTGATGGTCTTCTTGCCCTGTCTGAACTGTGTCCTAACTATTATGAGGTCCTCTCTCTCTCCCCATGTCCCCACAGTGCAGATCCTTGGAGCACTTTTCCATCTATTAATACCAACACATATATTCACACAACACACATTAGTACATGAGCAGACAAGGTCCCTGCTCTCCCAAGGTGACATGAAAGAGGGACACATCTGTGAGGTACCTCTGCAAAGCTATAATGCCAATGAGACGCATGATATTCCAGGGGGACTAACTGCTGAGTAAACCACTGTAGAGAGAACCCTTTTACCATATACTTCATTATTCATCCATGGGTGACATAGCTGAAAAAGTAGGTGTTGTTATTTTACAAGTAGCAATCCGTAAGCCCACTGTTGTTTGCTATGTACCTTGCAATAGCTACAGTATGCAAAGTGCAATAAAAAGAGAAATTCTACTTTATTACAGATCATTGCCATGAAACCACTGTCATAAACGTGAGAAAATAACCTAGATTTCGGCCATCCTTCCTACTCCAAACTAAGTTTATTTCTTTGTTCATAAAAATCACCCATTTTTTTTTGCTTTATCACACTCTACTAGTATATTTTGCAAGGATATTAAACAATGCTAACAAGTCAGGAACAAGGTAACAAGCACTTAATGTAAGTATGCTGCACACCTTTGTAATCATAGGGGGGAAACACAATAAAACAGCCATTCCTGGGAATAAACCCAAATAACTCAAACAGCTGACCTGTTCTGAAGCCATTATAGAAGCCACAATAATTCTGCTTTGGAAGGATCTGTGCTCATAAAGCAAAATATACCCCCTTCTCAAGTCTATGGTCCCAAAATGAAGGAGTCCCTGTCTAAGACGTCAGCACCTTGGAGGAGGACAGCTCCGGAGACCCAGACCATCTCAGGCCACCTCACCATAAGTTAAATTCACTTCATTTGCATAGCTCCCTGCTTTCCAAGGTCATTCAGGATGGGAAGTAGACTGCTGGACACCAAGCCTTTCCAGGCTTATGATCTGCTCCAACCACATTCCAATTCCTCAAGTCTATTATTGGGCCAAGAAGAGGAAAACCTTAAGAAATGTATCTAAATGATAGTGATTAAGTCATCATTTGGTGCTCAATTCTGAAAAACCCTTTTAAAAAAGTAATTATTTCCCCAGCCCATAAATCTCTCTGGACCTACAGATTTGGTGACCCAATTAATTTCTTCCTCCTGAAAAATTCACAATAAGCACACCACCAGATTTTCACAAATT